TTTCTTAGGAGAGTGCATGTGATCAGCACAGAGCCAATCAGCACTGTCCAGACAGAGGTCAGAGGTTCTGCATCCTTTTAGAGCAGAAAGAAAACTCCCCCTACAAGCTTTAAGGTCTGCTGAAGTCACAAGATTGCTATTTACTGCTGAAGAGAAAATGTATTTAGCAGTTTATATTTACTAAAATAATTGCATTTCCATGCTCTGTGTACTGTGGGAGACCAGATATAGTGAATGCAGGGTCCTGGGTTTAGTAACACTTTAAAGTTAGGAATTCTGTATAAAGCCCTACAGAAAAGATAGTTCACAGTCCACAGACATTCAGTTTACAGCACCATAGATGCAGCTACAAACTTATAAACACTGGTTGAAGAATATATCTTCACTGAATACTGATGTAGTTGTTTCACAAAATACACAGCTCAAACAAAAATTAAAGGAACACTTTTTAATCACAGTATAGGATCAAGTCAATTAAACTCCTGGGATATTGATCTGGTCAGTTAAGTAGCAGAGGGGGTTGTTGATCAGTTTCAGCTGCTTTGGTGTTAATGAAATTAACAACAGATGCACTAGATAGGCAACAATCAGATGACCCCCAAAACAGGAATGTTTTACAGGTGGAGGCCACTGACATTTTTTTCTCACTGTTTTTCACTAGTTTTGCATTTGGCTAGGGTCAATGTCACTACTGGTAGCACGAGGCACTACCTGGACCCTACAGAGGTTGCACTCCGACTACTCCAGGATGGCACATCAATATGTACCATTGCCAGAAGGGTTGCTGTGTCTCCCAGCACAGTGTCAAGAGCATGGAGGAGATTCCAGGAGACAAGAGTATGGAGGAGATTCCAGGAGACACACAGTTTATCTATTTATAGTACACTGCTGTCAAATGAAAACTCACTGTACTCATTGGATTGAGTACCATGAATGAGCTTTGTTTACAAACACCGTGTTCATTCGCTATTGCTGAAGTTGGAATGGCTTGCCAGGATGCGGCAGACAGCAATAATGCTTTTGTGTACAGCCCAATGGCATTGTTTTGAAGCATTAGGGACTGACAAGGTTTTATCTAAAATGCAAAACTATTTCACACAGCAATACTTATTTTTTATAGAAAACTACTCTCTTATCGCATAAAGCTTCAAATTAGAAAGTTGTTTTTTCCCCATGGTGAAATTTTCACAGAAATTAAATATGCTTTGAAATTGCTGTGGAATTAGGTTTGCTAAACTTCACCAATCATCCCTAGTCTATGCAGTTGATCTAATGGACAAATAGTTTTGGTGCCCAGGTGTGCATGTGTAATTCAAGTGCATAATAAGTGGGATGGTGGTGGAAGTCAGGGTGGTGATAGTGAGGGATACAGATCCTACAGTTATTTTGTACATTTTAGAAAATGTATACTTTCATGCCCACAACCAAGTGGTTGATAGGAAATCAGAAAGCATAATCAAAGGCTGCGAAGGCAGCAGATAACCTGCTACTGGCTTTTGTTTAATTTCTAAACTCTTATTTGATGGACTTCATGATAAACAGTCATGGAAATAATGGTTGACTACTGTATACTACAATGTATTAGCTACTAAATTAGTCATTTACACTTAGGTTGGTTTCAGACTGCTGCATTGTGCTTTGGCTGCAGTTTACTTGCAGTTTCCCATAGACTTTGTATAAGGTTGTGCGCTTTCAGCACGTTTCCTGAAATTGCACCAAAGATGCAGCATGCAAGACATTTGATGTGCCAAAAATGCATTACCTAATAAAAAGTCTATGGCAAACCAAGGGTTGACCACACAAAAACTGCGGGTACACCTGCAGCCAAACCACAGTGCCATTAGTGTGAAACTGGCCTAAGGTGACTAAAAAGTTGATGTGGAGTTTAAAGTGCCAGTATAGCTGGAGACAAACACATTGACAGATATTGAAAGTGGCTGAAAAACTTTAGTTTGAACCATGAAGTGAGTGTTAGCACCAGCAATCTAGGTTTAAAACCAAGCTAACCACATCTTTTCACCAAGTCTCAATCTCCTCTTCTAGAATAAAAATTATATCCATGTTATGGAATATAAATTCTATTGTATTATCATTAATATAAAAGAAATGTTGCCAGGTAACAGAACAGACAGAAGCAAGGAATTTTGCTACTCTTTTCCGCATTTTTGTAGTCTGTCAAAAAGCCTTACCTAGGAGTGGATGTTTCAGACATTCATGAGCCTGGTTAGGCACCATAATTAGCTCCATGGCTATAAAGGGGAGATTAGAATAGAAATTGGGTGGCCAGTCACTTTAGGTCTTTTCAAAGCTTTAAACATTGATCTTGGAAACGAGGTGGAAGGAAAAGGTTAGGCGTTTCAGATGCCATGCAGATCACTTATGGACTCCTTGGAACATATAATCATAAATCCCCAGCGCCAAAGAAATATGTGTACCAAAATAAAATTATTTAAAATTAAATGCTGCTGTACATAAGTGCAATATACACCAAAAAATATGAAAACATCACAAACAGCGCAAATAATTAAAAAATATTAAATAATATAAACATAAAATATGACTAATAAAAATTATATATATAAATAGGCCCACTCCAAAATTTGTGAAGAATTGTGAAAAAAGTTTTATGTATATAAACACAAGTGCCAAAATAAAAATCAAAAAAACAAAAAAATTCCTTGTTCCAAAGAAGCGTATATGTTGGTTTAAAGCACTGATCTTTGGTGGAAGCACACTTCTTTGTGGACTTTTTTTTTCTTTTTATTTTGGCACTTGTGTTTATATACATAACACATTTTGCACAATTCTTCACGCATTTTGGAGTGGGGCTATTTATATATTTATATATATCATTTTTATTAGTCATATTTTATCATTTTTATATGATTTAATATTTTTTTTAATTATTTGCGCTGTTTGTGATGTTTTCATATGGACTCCTTGGATCCGGAAAAAAGTCCAGCTTCACAGTGTCATAACCTTTAAGCCGACCCGTCAACACTGCAAACACATTTCGTATTTTAATGCTTCCTTTAAGCTTGTCACCAGGTCTTTCTGAGAGACCAGCCTTCATCCTGGCTCTCTCTAGCAAGGGGCCTTCCTTGGATCTTCTCACCGTGGCTTGGCTTCCTCCACCTTGGGCAGGACAGCCTCAGGACCACTTCAGAACAGGTAGGTCTAGACAGGCTTCTGGGCCTAACATGGAGCTCTCATCAGCTGCACCTCCTCAAGCCTCAGCCTGAGGCAAAAGAAAGCACATGGCTGACAAAAACCTCTCCCAGCATGCACCAGTGGCATAGACTCACCTACTGGGCTGACCAAAAGAAATATGAATATTGATAACTCATATGAATCCTAATTAAATAGCCAGAACTTCTCTTCTGATCAGTTTAGACTCACTTTAGATCAGGTTCAATCAAACTTAGTTGACTGCCGATGTAGAAAATTTTAAACAGTTTAGCATTGATTGGCAGCACTGAAATACTGTAGTCATGAATTTAATTGTATTTTCAAGCAATTAGATTGTGAGATCACATTGTGGAAACAAATATGCAATTGATAACTTACAATCATATCTTACGAAAGACTGAAATCCATTTCTCTGGTATATTAGTGAGCTTTAATGGAAAATGTTATTTTGTTTTGTAAAATAGAGTTCTGGCTTGGCTTCCTTCTCTCTTGTTACTAACCACCTTGTGAACCCCTCTGGTCATATTTTATTGGGCCAACAGGTTTTAACTTTCCAGGTTTGCCACACAGATGTTCTGCTGCTCAGCCTTGACTGGTGTCAGTTCACTCACAAAAACTTTTAAATCCTATTTCTTTCCCATCCCTCCCTCCCACTTCTTTCTTACACATTTCAGAAAGTAAATGAGAAAAAAACTCAGGGTTACTTACTCAATTCAGGAGCCATGTGACCCTCTGCAGCACCTCCATGACTGATGATCCAGAGCTAAAGTCCAGGCTCACTACTTTCAGGTCATGTTGCCACCTCTTTTTGTGATGTCATTGTATTCCTGTAGTCTTCAGGACCCAAAAGAACTGTTGGGGAGCCATGAGAAAGTGCTTACATCTCCCAACCTGGCGCCTGTGGGACCAGAATAAGGACCCTTCTGCTTTCCAGAAAAAAATATAGATAACTCAGAACCTGGCGTGCTGTGTGACCATAGATTTGAGTAAGTAAATAAGACGTTTAGACTGGAGGTGGCACTGATTTTCAGTGTTAAAGAACCATTGATTAAATACCTGTTTAAAGGGTAGAGCAGGTTTTGGGGCCAATCTTCATTAAGTGGATTCAGAATTGATTTTCTTTTGAATACTTAATTGTCACTATCTCTAGATACATGTGGGATAATCCAGTAGAAGAACAGAAGAAAGCGTAAGGTATTTTGAGGGAAGAGAAAGGACTACAATTGGAGTACTCCGTATCCAAGGGACTGCATAATTTCTTCATTACCACATTAGGGTTTTCATTTTTTGTGACATGATATTTTTGTGATATTACATTACAGATACTAAAAGGTGGCATAAACAAAAATAGTATCGTAATACTTGTTTGCTCAGTGCCTCATTCTAAATACAGCTTTAAGCATTACCTGACCAGAGGGCCCTTTCACACCAAGCTTTGTTTTGCAACAGTTACATTAGATTACAGATGATAAAAAGAGTTGCATGAACAAAAATAGTAACATAACACATATTTACCCAATGCCTAGAAAATAATTCTAAGCATTACCTGACCAAAAGGCCCATTCACACCATGCTGGTCCTTTATGGTGCGTTATTTTGTGTCTTAAAATGTACTTTGAAGTAACTTCTTTAACCACCTCCCGCCCGCCATATAGTAATATGATGGACGCAGGGTGGTTCTCTCACTCTAACCGTGCACGGATCCCAGGGGGGGGGGGCGCAGCGCGGCGATCGGTGGTGCGCTGTGTCCATCGGACACAGCGGATCACCGATCCATGGAAAGAGCCGAAGATGTTGGCTCAGTCATGTGATCAGCTGTGTCCAATCACAGCTGATCACATGTAAACAGGGAAATGCCGGTTATTGGCTTTTCTCTCCCACGAGCTGTCACGCTGACATCTCGTGAGGAGAGGAGAGCCGGTAATCGGAATACCTCGGAGGGGACATGTATACTGATCATCAAAGCACTGATGATCAGTGTAGCCCCAGCAGCGCCACCTGTCAGTGTCCATCAGTGCTCATCCATGCCATCTGTCAGTGCCCATCAGTGCCACATCAGTGCCACATTTCAGTGCCCATCAATGCCACATCATCAGTGCCCATCTGAGCTGCCTTTCAGTGTCACCCATCAGTGCCAGTCAGTAACACCTATCAATGCCAGTCAGTGCCACCTATCAGTGCTGCCAATCAGTGCTACCTATCAATGCCAGTTAGTGCCGCCTATCAGTGCCCATCAGTGCTGCCTATCAGTGCCGCCTATCAGTACCAGTCAGTGCCGCCTATCAGTGCCATATATGAGTGCTGCCTTTCAGTGCCCATCAGTGATGCCTGTCAATGCCCATCAGTGGCACCTACCAGTGCCTCCTCATCAGTGCCACCTATCAGTGTCCATCAGTGCAGCCTATCAGTGCCCATCACTGCAACCTCATTAGCGCACATCAGTGAAGGAGAAAATCACTTATTTACAAAATTTTATAACAAAAACTAAGAAAAAAACTTTTTTTTTCAAAATTTTCAGTGGTTTTTGGTTTGTTTAAGAAAAAATAAAAACCCAGAGGTGATTAAATACCACCAAAATAAAGCTCTATCTGTCACAAAAAAATGCTAAAAATTTAATATGGGTACAGTGTTGCATGACCACGCAATTGTCATTCAAAGTGCAACAGCGCTGAAAGCTGGAAATTGGCCTGGGAGGAAGGGGGTATAAGTACCCTGCAGGCTAGGGGTTAAAATGCACAGTAGTGCGGTTTGTTGTGTGTGCATTCCCTTTGAGAATAAATGGTGTAATCACTGATTTTTGATTGGGTGTTAACCTCTACATTGGCACTGTCATTCTCACCATGGCAGGTAAGTCTTTCACCAGCATAACAGTCAAGATATCTTGGACATTTTTACAGATGGATTCCAGTGTTCCTTTAGCATTTTGCATAAATATATCAAAACACATTTATTTTTAAATGGGTACATATCCTTTGCAGTTATAGAATGATCCTCAGTGAATTCTGTGGTTTTCTTTTACTGCAGTTTTTTTTTAATCTTCAGTTGCATTAGAACACACAGTACAGGTTAGTTTTTATCTGTATTCCTTCTTTAAAGATTGCTGGGTCAGCTGTACAATATCACAGAAGAGAATGATTCTCCAGCCAGTGCCATTCTTACAAGACATGAAAAATTAATTTCACCCTTCATTACCCTGACTACTTGTGTAGTCCTCAATCTAATTTGTAAAATGCTAGCACACAAATTGCAATGTTCTGCTAAATGAAAACCCTGCATCTGTAAGTGTGTCTGCAGCCACTTCCTGACAATGTTTGCTATGGGTTAAACACACATTGCTACCCAGTGATCTAAAGGTAATTCATATCATGACTATTAGTCACTTCTGGTGTAAGCTAGTGATTATTTCATTATCCAACATCAGCATTATAATATTACAAGAAAAACTGTGTTTGTTATTAGTGTGGAAAGGAGTACATGTATACAAATGAAATACATACAATTGTTTTATTGCGTTAATCGTTTCTAAACCCAGTTTCAAACATTTGCTACTTTGCAGCTCACCAGTCCTTAGATGTAGCATAGCTGTATTTGTTTTGGTTTTTTTTAGCTTTTTTTTTTATTACAGATAGTCCCCGTGTTACGAACAAGATGGGTCCTGTAGGTTTGCGCTTAAGTTGAATTTGTAGGTAAGTTGGAATTGGTAAATTTTTTAGTGTAGCTCCAGCCAAAAAAATTATTTTTAAGTTTTGGATAGCATAGGGCAGGGTTAACTGGCCATGTAGTGATGTGGGATTGCTGACAGGTCCGTCGGACAGTAGGAGGCAGCATGCGGTGAGTATCAAGGTTACTGCCCGGCGGTTTCTGGGACCAGCGTAGCTTTATGCTGCCTCCATTCTTAAGTACGAGACGTATGTAAGTCGGATGTTTGTGACTCATGGACTTCCTGTACTTTACTTCTTATATCATTTTACTGATTGACGAATGGTCGAAGGAAAGAAAATTGCTTAAAGCGGAGCTCAACCCAGAAGAGGAAGTTCCGCTTTAAGCCTTTGTCCCCTGCTCACCGTTAAGAATTGGCATCTTTGGGGAGCGGGTACCCAAATTTGACAGGTACCTGCTCACACTTCTAGGCACCTAGTTGATTGGAAGTGGAAGTTGTCCTCCCCCTGCCCTTCCTCCCCGTAGTCTTCTGGGACACATGACAGGTCCCAGAAGACTACGGGAACATTCACAAATGCAGCGCTTCTCGCGCATGTGCAGTGAGCACCCGGCTGTGAAGCCCCAAGCTGTCACAGCCGGATGCCCCCACTGAAGATGCCGGCGCCAGGGAGAGAAGACGGCCAGTGAAACCAGCGGTGGTGAGGACACTGCTGGACCGAGGGACAGGTAAGTGGCTCTATTTTAAAAGTCAGCAGCTACTGTTTTTGTAGCTGCTGACTTTTTTTTTTTTTTTTTTTTTTTTTTGTAGGTGGAACGCAGCTTTAATGTACAGCTAGTATATCTGTTATTATACCCATTGACAGGTATGATCTGTCGATCAACTTCATTATAACCTGCATGTCATTTTTTGTGTGCATTCACTGCCGGCGGCTAAAGCCACCAGCAGTGATCACTGTATTCTGATGGTGAGGAAATCTTCTTCTGCCAGAATGCAATAGTGCTTTAGGTGGGATTTCCCCATCAACACTGACTGTGTTGATGGGGTAATCAAGCGATTTTGTTGAAGGAAAGAAATCTATGACTAGTCTAAGATTATCAAATTATCATCTAACAAAACTAAATAGGAATGCGTTCTATAATGTTATTTAATTTCTTTCATTGTTTTAATGGAAGGAAAGTGCAAACATTGTTCAATGTAACAAACGTATGTTAAAGCCATGTACAGTTGAACTGATCCAGCAAATATTCAATGACTTCATTAACATAAGCAAAATAGCAAATGGCAGTAATGACCAATCCTAATCCTAGATACAGTATTATCTGGTGTCAAATTAAAACATAGCCATGAAGAGTGGGAGTTGCTGTAATGTTCAGCTTGCTAGAGAAACAAAAATGATTACATATATGAAACCACACAAACACAAGTTCACACGGTTTCCACCAGATCCACACCAGTTCACTCTCCAGCTCCAGCCTTTGTTCTGAGCATTATATTATTTTGACCTCTGAAGTTATTTTTTATCAAGGGTTAAATGTTCAAGTTTGAATTGGTTGTCATGTATGATGATGTGTGGTAGGTATAAATCTGAAGGTTCAACCCTTGTTTTGATGCTGGTAGGATTCTACCCCAAAACATTGTGTAGTATGCATTTGCGACCACAATGGATGGGATCTTGTCATGATGATTCTTGGGTTGGGAATTAACATTGCACAAGAAAAACACTTACTGAGAACTTGGTTTCAAATGTCAATGATCATGGAGAGAATGGGAAAGAGTTACCAAAACTGTAGCGTGCAAAATCTGCTGAAGTTCTGCAAAGAAAGCAATCAGCTTCCAGGTTTTATTGCCAAAGCTTAATTGAACAAGCTGAAGTCAGAAGCTGATTGGTTACCATGCACAGCTACTCCAGATTCTGAGTGCTCCAGTTTTAGTAAATCTCCCCCAGTGCGTACCTTTTGGTATTGGATCCCAAGCTCTGCATTGTATGTACATGTCCATACACATAAATAGATAAGATGATTGCTGAAATTGCCCAGAGAAACTGAAATTATATCTGTAGAAGCTTGCAGGCTTAATCAGGTTGGCTTTTTCAGACAAATACTGTTGACTTTCCTGAGATAAGCCCAGTGCTGTAAAAGTTTGTTCCTTTGTCTCAGTTCCATTTACTAACATGTCCACAGGATATGCTAGTACTCTGCACTTTAAAATGTGAAAAGATTAGATAGAGCTGAACCCAATCTACACTGTGAAGATATCATTAAAAAAGACATGTCACTTTGTATACTTTATAAATAGTTAAATGGTCCATGTAATAAATTTAGTAGAATGATGCTCAATATACAGTAAGATTACTACAAAAGACATGGGGACACTCTTTCAGACCAGAAGAAAAAACATTTTGCCCATACATATAATAATGGTTCTTTACTGTAAAAGCTGTGAAAACAGGGAACAGTCTTCCAGTGGATTTGGTTCTAGCAGTCTATGTACAGTGTTTCGAAAGTGGGTTTAAGGTGTTTTTAAATTCACCAAATATAAATGACTACTTTTATGTAAGAGAAATTAAATTGCAGAGTGTTGACTCTAGGCAGATACCCATCATACCAGACTCCCATCTAATGAGTAAAACTGATTAAAAGTATACTCATTTGTTAAAGGGGCAATAGGGCCTTTGGGCCACTTAGTTATGCCCTCCCGTGACCCATATTAGGCTGACATCACTGAGCGGTCCAAACTCAGGAGGGATCCACCCAGATGCCTGACCGTTAGCTGGCTCAGGCTCTCAGAGTTCCACTGATAGACTGAGGTAGCCACTCCCACCACCTCAATAGCTTGGCAACTCCAATGAGTGCTGGAGGGGCAGAGCAGAGAGCCAGTGACTGATAGTCACCACTCTCTGCTCATGGAAGACCTCAAGTGACTAGCAGTCCTGTGATTGCTCTTTTCTTGGTCTTAAAGCTGACAGGGTACAGATAAAGCTTCGGACCGCTGGTGAGTGTAAATATTTATTTTTTTTTTACATAGTTACATACTTAGTCTATCTGAAAAAAGACAAAAGTCCATTCTGTTCAACCATTAAAAAAAAAAAAAAGTTATAATCCTATACCCACAGTTGATCCAGAGGAAAGCAAAAAGCCCTCAGCAAAGCACGATCAAACTTGCTCCTGCAGGGAAAAAAAATTCCTACGTAATCCCTCGAGAGGCAATCAGATAATCCGTGGATCAACTTTACCTATAAATGTTAGTATCCAGTTATATTCTGTGTATCTAACCTCCCTAGTGGTCTGATTATGTCCATATTTCTGTGCTCAAAGCGGCACATTTTTTTGCATGGAAATATGTATTTTTTATATTGTAGGCCTGTAATTTATAGGAATAACTCACTGAAATCTGTCTGAACAAGAGTCTAGTAAACATCCCGGGTAGGATAAAACTTGAAACACGAAATCAAAATTATAATTTAATAAATAATCATAAAAAATAATAATATAATAATAATAAATTTAATTCAATAATATAATCAAACCAAAAACACTGAAATTTGAAATATAGCGCCAAGTTCGCACATCACTGAGCAAAGTCGCAAAATCGTTTTCAGTGTCTGATGATGAATTTCCCCACAAATCATTATCACTCAATTCTGCAAGTGGTTCTGATTTACTATCACTGTTCTCTAGCTGGTCTAAAACCAGCTAGAGACCTAAAGGGACGCTTTTTGGACGCCATGGACGTTTCTCAGTTTCCAGGCAGAAGGAACAGTAAAAATGCAGGCAGGGCACAGGACAAAGCACTCGGGACAAAATGTATGTGAAATGGTTTGATACAGTAATGTTATACTATGTGATTTTAGTGTATTTAGTGAATGTCACTTTTTGTCATTTTCAAATTTCCCACCGTTCCGTCCCCCGTACGTCCCGACGCTCGCAGGGGACGGAACCCAGACGACAGATGCCGGCATCCGCCGCATTACATTGTCGGGGACACTGCAGGAGGGACATCGCGGGAGCGCAGGACAAGGTAAGGGATCGAGGGATCGCACAGCAGCGCCGCATGGTATTCCCGAGTGTAGCTTGGGGTTACCGCTTATGGTACTGAAACTTTGCCCCGAGCTACACTCGGGAATACCGCCAGGGAGGTTAAAGCAATGCATTGAGCTGGCCAGAATCAACTCTTGAGGGAGTCTATTCCACATTTTCACAGCTCTCACTGTGAAGAAACCTTTCCATGTTTGGAGATTACATTTCTTTTCCTCCAGACGTAAAGAGTGCCCCCTTGTCCTCTGTGATGACCTCATGGTGAATAGCTCTACACCAAGTTTTTAATTCCCATACTTCTCTTTTACACTATCTCTAAACAAAATCTCATTGGTAATTGGAAAGGAATAGAACCAATGTCATGTTTGTATTGCTGTGTGAGTCCACAAATTGGAAGATTTAACCTATCTTAACTGAAAATGAGAGAAATCCAAAATTTGAACAGAAATACAGGGGAAATTCACCAATAGGAACACTGCTCTGGGTGCAATGGTGTAAGAGATTTCACTTGCTGTGAAGAAAATTGTAGTCACTTTCTATTGCATCCATTGAACAGAAAGTGAAGGTCATTCTCCCCATTTGAACACAACTGGAACAAAAAAAAAAAAAAACTACTTGAATTCTTCTAAACACGAGGAGATATGCAGTGGTCAGTGATCAGTGGGTGTTTGGATGGACATACTTCTGGGGCCTGGCTTCAACTGTCATATTGTAACAGAGCATTGATTGTGGGGCCATTCACTCTTTCATAGAGATAGGAATTTTGAAGATTGCCTCTTCCCTTTTTCCTGTATAAAAGATTGCTGAAGAAGCACACAGATCTTTCATCTGTGTGTTCATCGTCATCGTGTTCATGGTCCAGATGTTGCAGGTCAACATATTAAACTATGTATTTCCACCCTTACTGATGGACTAGCTTTGGCAGCCGAAGAATAAGTGTTTCTTGTACGATCTACATTATTGATTATGTTTTATAGTTCTGAAATGACCATGAAACACCTTTGAACTATGAGCTGAAACAGGCAGGGCCATATACTGTACAGTATATTAAGCTCAAGCAAAGTCAGGCTATTTTGTTTGGACTAACTTGCAGAGGTTTTTGGTGTCATTTATCAAGTATTGAAAGTCAAAGCTATTAAGAATAATTTTCCACTATGTAAGGTGCAGCTAAGTGAAAAAAAAAAATAACTTTGACATGCTGGCAGATTTCCTATGTTCCAGCCTCTTAGGTTAAATAGAAGGTTTTTTTTGTAATAGCTTATCTTTCCAGTCTTTATGAAAAATGAAGTACATTTTTCTTACCTTAACTGAACTAGTAAAGGATCTTTTGAAACACAAGTTTGACATGAGCCTCCTTTCTAAAGTGGTATGCCCTTTCTAAAGGAAAGCCAGTGACTCAGCTCCTTGTGGAGATAAGCTTAGGTTCAAACTATGAATTGCACAGGAATGCACACAGCAATATTCACATGCAATTCAGTGCAGTGCGTTTTGAGCCTGTTCATTTGCATGCGCTAGTTTTGGAAACGCACTGCAACCAGATCCCATGGTTGTAGTTTTGTACAATGTGATCTGGTACAGAGAAACTTATTGCATTTGGGGTATCATTAACCACTTCCTGTCCGGACACTTTTACCCCCTTCCTGTCCAGGGCAATTTTCAGCTTTCAGCGCTATCACACTTTGAATGACAATTGCGCGGTCATGCAATACTGTACCCATATGAATTTTTTACCATTTTTTTGAGACAGATAAAGCTTTATTTTGGTGGTATTTATTCACCGCTGGGATTTTTATTTTTTTTGCTATGTAAATGAAAATGTCCAAATATTTTGAAAAAAAAATGTTTTTTTTTTTATAAAATTTTGCAAATAAATAATATTTCATCATAAATCTTGGCCAAAATTTATTCCATTATTTTTGTAGTAAAAAAAAATCCAAATTAGTTTATAACCAAAAATTATAATTTTTAAACATTTTTTTTTACATTTTTATTTTTTTTTTAATATTATTATGTTTTATTTTTATTTTGTTTTTACATACTGTCACCCTAGCAGTACAGTGTCACCATGGTGACACTGTACTACTTGTGGGGGGTGATGAAGAATTTTTTTTATTACACTGATGCTTTTGCACCCATATAGGATGTAAAAGCTATCATTTCTCTTTCTCTCTGTCTGCATTCTTGCAGTCATTGAGAAGTACTGAGTGAGCTGTGATTGGTCACAGTTTGTCACATGGTACAAGGCTGTTGTGAATAGCCTTGTACCATGTGACCTCTGTGATCATTTCACACGTAGCAAGCAATGATGTCACAAGTGACATCTTGCTTACTACTTTGCATGTGATCACTGATTGGCCAATCAGTGATCACATGATCGGGACCTCGTACAGAGGTCCCGTCCGACGATCGGTGTTTCACTGTGTCCGGGGAGCGCACACAGCTAGAAAGACGGGTGGCGTTTATGAACGGCAACCCACCCCTGGACTGCCACCGCCCTGCCGTTTATAAACAGCAGGCGGACGGCAAGTGGTTAATATTGAACTGACATCCGCTGCAGATTGCAAGGGCAATGCATTTTGAATGTGATGAAGGAAACACGCATGGATTGCAGGTTTCTCGCACCGCTTTCTAGTGTGAATCTGGGCTAAAGCAATTGCTGTGATGTTATTGTCCTGTAGAGTGATCACTTATGGGAATCGGAGGGAGGGATTGAAAGGGCAACCTACACCTTTCTGCGCCCATATGTGCAACCGTCAGACTGCAAGCTCTTTTTCTGCATATAGTTAATAGGACTGTGTGGTGGCAAGGCTTAGTGGAGATCTCTAACACTACCTATGAGTGTCAGAACTTTGCCTGATCTGAGCAGCTTGGCATTTGTAGAAGACTTGGATACTGAAAGCCGTTATAGTCAGTGGTGTATTTAGGTTTCGTACTGCCCTAGGCAACACAAAAATCGTCTCCCTCCTCCCCCGCGGAGAGACCCTGACACCGACCAACACCCCCCTCCCCCATGAAGAGTGCCTAACATTGACCAACAACACCCCAGCCCCCCACCACTCCACCCCCACGCAAGAGAGCCTTCCACTACCACCAGCCCCCCATACACTGGCAATTCCCCCCCCATCCCAGAAAAAGAGAAGACACTTACCTACACAGCTCCAGACATCCCCGGGAACAGACATCCCCGGGAGTCAGGCTCTGCATACACCATCAAGCAGCCCGCAGCCTCTCAGATCCCATCTGGTCTCCATGCTGTGTGTGCCTCTTCTTCCATCCCTTCTTTAGGGGGGCAGCGCTGCCCCCCTGAAAGATGCCACCCTAAGCATATGCTTTGTTTGCCTTGTGGTAAATACACCCCTGGTTGTAGTTATCTGAAACTCTGGGTACCAGTACTTTATGTCTGTCAGCAGCTTTCCGAATTATTTAAAGGGCATTTAAAACCTTTGCAGCCAAATTTAGATAATACATATTTTATATTTGCTACATGTTCCTATTCACATAGAATGACTCTAAAAACATATTTGAAAATCGTTTCTTACTATTTTAGTTGCTATTTTCTGAAAGCTTCCAAACTGAGGTTTTCCCCTTCTGTGAATGTTAAAGAGGGGGCTGGGGAGTTATGTTTACCATAATTAACTGTGTCTGTACTGTGCTGGCAGATCTTCATGATCAGTTTTAAACTAGAAGTGTCTGTCCTACCAAACAGAACTGAAGGCTTGGGTAGTTCATGAAGAATAAGCTGTACATAGTAACCAATCAACTTCCAGGTTTTATTGTCAAAATTTAACTGAACAAGGTAGAAGCTGATTGGTTAGTATGCTCAGTTGTACCAGATTCTGTGTGCACCAGTTTTAGTAAATTTACCCCATAGTATGGGTTTCTCAAATTTGTCTGCAAAGGTATTATTATACAGGATTTATATAGCACCAACAGTTTGCTCAGCACTTTACAATATAACGGGAGACAATACAGCAACAATACAGTTCAATACAAAAGGCATAGGAGGGCCCTGCTCCTCGGAGCTTACAATCTAGGAGGGAAGGGCTAGTGGTACAAAAGGTAGTAACTGTGGGGGATGGACTGGTAGGAAGAGCAGAAGATTCCATTATTAGCTGATGGCAGGATAGGATTCCCTGAAGAGATTTTCAGAGATCTCCTGAAAGTGAGCAGAGTAGGCGATAGTCTGATAAATTGGGGTAGAGAATTCCAGAGGATGGGGGAAGCTCTGGAGAAGTCCTGGAGATGAGCATGGGAGGAGGAGACAAGGGAGCTAGAGAGCAGGAGGTCGTTCGAGGAGCGGAGAGTATGGTTTGGAGACAAGATTGGTGATGTAATTTGGGGCAGAATAATAATGGCTTTATATGTTATTGTTAATGTTTTGAATTTTATCCGTTGGGCAATGGGAAGCCAGTGGAGGGATTGGCAGAGAGGGGTGGCTGATACAGAATGGTTAGTAAGGTGGATGAGTCTGGCAGCAGCATTCATGATAGACTGCAGAGGGGATAGCCTGCAATGAGGTAGGCCAATGAGGAGGGAGTTACAATAGTCAAGGCGAGAGATAACAAGGGAGTGAATAAGCTGCTTAGTGGTTTCCGAGGTTAAGAATGGCTGTATCTTGGAGATGTTGCGGAGGTGAAGTCTACAAGATTTGGACAGCGATTGGATTTGGGGGTGAAAGGACAGATGGGAGTCTAGCATTACACCTAGTACCCTGGCATGAGGGGAGGGACTGATGATTGTGTTATTGATTGTGATGGAGAAGTCAGGGGAGGGGGCACGGGCTGGAGGGAATACTAAGAGCTCAGTTTTGGAAAGATTGAGTTTGAGGAAGTGGAGTGACATCCATGCAGATATGTCGCTTAGTAGGTTAGTAATGCGAGAGGAGACTGAAGTGGTGAGGTGAGGGGAAGAAAGATAGATTTGTGTGTCATCAGCATAGAGATAGTACTTAAAGCCATGGGAGTTTATCAAGTGACCAAGGGAAGAGGTGTAGATGGAGAAGAGAAGGGGTCCAAGGACAGAACCTTGAGGGACCCCTACAGAAAGAGGAATTGGAAAGGAGGAGACAGAGTTATAGGTAATGCTGAAGGAGCGCTGCGATAG